AAAACACTACAGAGTCTTTTATCAGTAGTTAGCAGAGATTTACAACACATGGTCTGACCTTGTTGCTGCTCACTGTTTTTCTAAAACGTTTGAACTCTGGCTTTCATCCAAACTCACATTGGAAGCTCTAATCTTGACTCTGTTGTTTATGTACAGCTATATACATATCAGGATCCCTTGATCTGGTATCGGTATTAGGCATGGATAGAGTCGCTCGGATAACTCGTTTCTTGTAATAATTTTGTTAAAATTACCTTTTTGAAGTGAAAAAATGGAAGTCCCTTATGCCCTTCCAAAGCTTTTTCTCCCATTTTTGTTACGACTCAGGAAGTAGGTCAGAAATGATTCAGCTTTTCCCTGCTTCTGGTCCCTGGCCTCGGATCAAGCCAGAGAAGCCAGTTTTAAACCAGAGAAGGAAGGAATTTCCAGGCCTTGACTCAAGCCAGAGAAGCCTGTTTTAAACCAGAGAAGTCAGCTTTAAACCAGAGAAGGAAGGAATTTCCTGGCCTCAGCTCAAGCCAGAGAAGTCAGTTTTAAAGCCAGAGAAGCCAGTTTTAAACCAGAGAAGGAAGGAATTTCCTGGCCTCAGCTCAAGCCAGAGAAGTCAGTTTTAAAGCCAGAGAAGCCAGTTTTAAACCAGAGAAGGAAGGAATTTCCTGGCCTTGGCCCAAGCCAGAGAAGCCAGTTTTAAAGCCAGAGAAGCCAGTTTTAAACCAGAGAAGTCAGCTTTAAACCAGAGAAGGAAGGAATTTCCTGGCCTCTGCTCAAGCCAGAGAAGCCAGTTTTAAAGCCAGAGAAGCCAGTTTTAAACCAGAGAAGGAAGGAATTTCCTGGCCTCAGCTCAAGCCAGAGAAGCCTTTTTTAAAGCCAGAGAAGTCAGTTTTAAAGCCAGAGAAGGAAGGAATTTCCTGGCCTCGGCCCAAGCCAGAGAAGCCTTTTTTAAAGCCAGAGAAGCCAGTTTCAAACCAGAGAAGGAAGGAATTTCCTGGCCTCTGCTCAAGCCAGAGAAGCCCGTTTTAAAGCCAGAGAAGGAAGGAATTTCCTTTTCTTTGTAGACCTCCCCTTGGTATCCCTATGGATGTCCTGGTCCTCAAACACTCTCTGCTTCGTTTGGAAAAATGCTGTGCTCACAGAGCTCAGGCGGTGTTGAATTTCAGTTGTTTCAATGTTGACTTTTGTGGAGAGGGAACAGAAATGGTCAACATTTTCTAATGTTACACTATTAAGCTGTATTTCTGGCATTGGAGAAGGATTGGCTGGTGACTGCTAGAAGAGCACTTTGGTTTTCTCGATGTTCAATGACAGGCCGAGCTTCTTGTATGCTTCTTCTGTTCTGTTGACTAAGTCATTGATAAAGAGGTTGGATAGCCCTGCTCCCATTTCACTGGATTCTCCTGGTAAAAAAAACCCCTTTCCCCCTTGATGTCTAGGTGGTCCCCTTCTTTTTGAGGATGTGAAGCTGGTCTACAACTCGGAACAGATGAACGGGACGCAGAGGGTGCTGATGGACAATGTGATCTCCGAGGAAGAGTGCCAGGAGTTGCACCGCATTGCCAATGTGAGTAGCTCAAGGATGGTCTTACATACCAAGCAAATCAATGAAGTAAATAAATAAAGCATGTGAGCAACCTAAGATCCCAAGCAGACCTTGCACACACCACCATCACCCCAATGCCCTTCAGAATACATAGAAGGCTTTCTGCAATGTTTTTAAGCCCCTGTTTTGAAAAAGAGCTTCTTCTAGGCCTAACTTGGAAGGGGATAGGGCTAAAAACGTAGCAAAATCCCTCCATGCTCCTTAGAAAAAGTAGCCTTGATATCCAGAGGGCCATCACAATGGGCTGCCACTGATGTTCAAGTTGGCCAATGGTGATGGCTCATATTGTGTTGCAATGAAGGAGAACACAATTGTGTTCCTTTTTTTAATAAATAAAGGAAAATGCATGTATTGCTCTTCACTTTGAAAAAGAACTTTTCCAAGGTGCTAAAACTTACCCTCCAGCAAGTTCAGCAACTTGGGCAGGTTGCTTAAAGTTCTGACTAAAACTCGGAGCGAATTCTTGGCACCATTGGCAGCATCTGTGCAACTCCTGTTCCTTCCAGCAAGATTTGTGGGTGACTATAACCCCTTGGTATTCTCATTTCAAGAGTTGAAGAGGCTGTCTCCTAGAGAGAGGTCTTTTCGTTCCACTTTGGTGAATCTTCTGCCTCTTTCAGGGCGTCCTCTTGGCTGGAGATGGATATCGAGGGAAGACCTCACCTCACACCCCAAATGAGAGGTTTGAAGGGGCCACCGTCCTCAAAGCCCTCAAGGTATGAAGCTCGTTCTATGACTGGCTCTTGGGTTCCATTGAATTTCAGGGCATTGGAGCCATCCCAAGGGTTGTCTAGTCTAACCAGTTGTCAGTTAAGGAAATCCATAGCTTAAGTACCCCCATAGAGATGGTCATCCAAACTGGGAATRGGGAGGATGTAAATACACCATCCTCCATCTCCCCGTCCTCTTCACCACCACAACCATCTAACCCAGTGGTCCTCAACCTGGGGTCCCCAGATGTTTTTGGCCTACAACTCCCAGAAATCCCAGCCAGTTTACCAGCTGTTAGAATTTCAGGGAGTTGAAGGCCAAAAACATCTGGGGACCCCAGGTTGAGAACCACTGATCTAACCACTCTTTGTAGACCTCCAAAGAAGGAGATCGGAAAGTGGAAAGTCTACCATAGAATGGACATCTCTTGAAGACTGTGGTCTTCAAGGGGAATCCATTCTACGGAAGACCTTCTACTTCCATGGAAGTTAGTGCTGATGGATCCCAGTGAAATTGGAAAAACCAATCTGCAGAAGTCCAATAATTTGAAATGCTTTTAATTTCACCAGTGTAATGCCATAGGTTTCAGAACTTGATGCATGTTTTGAACCACCGGTCCTTGATTTCTATTTTCTCTGTCTTGCATGCCAGTTTGGGATAAAAGCAGGAGATACGTGAAGTGATGGAAGGATGGTTAATTGTTTAGCGATTCCTCTGATTGTTGTGCAGACTTCCCTCTGGTTTCTTTAAGGCCAAGTTCTTTAAGGCAAGATTAGTGTTAGAAACTGCATTTGTTTCTCCCACCAGCATTATTATTATTATTATTATTATTATTATTATTATTATTATTAACTTTATTTGTACCCCGCTAACATCTCCCGCAGGACTCGATGCGGCTTACAAAGGCCAAGGCCTCAATAAAAACAACAACATAACAATACACATAACATTTCATGCAAATCAAAATGTTAAGCAATAACAGTAAACAATAACACAACACACCATAACACGATAAAACTAAGGCCGGGCCAAATGTAATTGGTACAGATTAAAAAGTGCTGAGTATGACAGGTGAAAAGTAGGGTAAGTGCAATGTGCAGACAATCTTATATCTCCACTAAAGTGCTTTTGGGACCTATTGCTGGAGTTTCCTATTCTGGAAAGGCACACCGGAACAGCCAGGTCTTCAAACTCTTCCTAAAGACTGCCAGTGTAGAGGCTTGTCTGATGTCCTTGGGGAGGGTGTTCCAAAGTTGGGGGGCCACCACAGAAAAGGCCCTGTCCCTCGTCCCCACCAGACGTGCCTGCGACGCAGGTGGGATCGCGAGCAAGGCCTCTCCAGATGAACGAAGAGAACGCGTAGGTTCATAGACGGAGATGCGGTCACACAGGTAGGCAGGTCCCAAACTGTTTAAGGCTTTGTAGGTGAGCACCTGCACCTTGAATTGGGACCGGAAAATGAACGGCAGCCAGTGGAGCTTCTTGAACAGGAGGGTTGACCTCTCTCTGTAAGGAGCACCAGTTAACATCCTGGCCACTGCCCGTTGGACTAACTGAAATTTCCGAGCCGTTTTCAAGGGCAGCCCCACGTCGAGCGCATTACAGTAGTCCAATCTAGAGGTGACCAAGGCATGGACCACCCCGGCCAGATCAGCCTTTACGAGGTACGGTCGCAGTTGTCGCACGAGTCTCAATTGTGCAAAAGCCCTCCCGGACACCGCCGACACCTGAGCCTCAAGCGTAAGCGATGAATCCAAGAGGACTCCCAAACTGCGGACCTGTGACTTCAGGGGGAGTCTAACCCCATTCAACACAGGTTGCCACCCTATACCCCAATCTGGTTTCGATCAACCAGGAGGACCTCTGTCTTGTCGGGATTGATCTTCAGCTTGTTCTTCCTCATCCAGACAGCCACAGCGGCCAAGCACTCGTCCAGCACTCGAGGGGCTTGGAGAGACAAGCGTGACAGAGACACACTGCCTCATTGGGCAGGTTCACAGCTTGGGAGTTCTCCTGGACTCATGGCTGAGCCAGGAACCCCAGGTCTTGGTGGTGGCCAGGGGAGCTGTTGCACAATTAAAACTTGTGCGCCAGCTGTGCCCATACCTTGGGAAGTCAGACTTGGCCACAGTGATCCATGTTCTCGGTACATCCAGGATAGACTACTGCAACACACTCTACATGGGGCTGCCTTTGAAGACTGTTCAGAAGCTTCAAATAGTCCAACGAGAGGCAGCCAGGTTAATAACTGGGGTGGTACAGGGTGCACACAACTCCCATGTTACTCCAGCTTCACTGGCTGCCTATTAGCTTCCGGGCACAAATCAAAATGATGGTCTTAAACTATAAAGCCCTAAGCCAGTGGTTCTCAACCTGGGGTCCCCAGATGTTTTTGGCCTACAACTCCCAGAAATCCTAACAGCTGGTAAACTAGCAGGGATTTCTGCGAGTTGTAGGCCAAAAACATCTGGGGACTCCAGGTTGAGAACCACTGCCCTAAGCAGTTCCGGCCCAGTTTACCTGTCCAAACGTATCTCCCTCTATGAACCACCAAGTACCTTAAGCTCACCTGCGGAGGCCTTGCTCTCAGTCCCACCGCCATCGCAGTCATGTTTGGTGGGGACGAGAGACAGGGCCTTTTCTGTGGTGGCCCCTCGGCTGTGGATCTCCCTCCCTAATCTATTTTAATTTCATTATACTGTTTTGTGATATTTTGCATTGTTGTGTAAACTGCTTTGAGTCGCCAAAGGGCTGAGAAAAGCGGTATAGAAATAAAGTAAATAAATAATAATAATAATAAAATAATTAGAACTGGCCCATCCCTCCTGACCTTCCAGAAGAAACTCAGATCTTGGCTGTGGGATGACGCGTTTGCAGAATAGACTGATTTACTGGTGAAGATAAGGTTTTAGTGGACCGCAATGGACTGATTTGGATGATGATTTGAACGAGCAAACTGTTTTAATGTGTATTTATAACTGTTTTAATGTATGCTAATTGTATTCTATGTTATTATATTGTGTCGGCATCAAATAGTTGCCTGTTGGAAGCCGTCCCGAGTCCTTCTTTGGAGGTTGAGAAGGACGGGATAGAAATGTTCTAAATAAATAAATAAATAAATAAATGTGCACTGTAGAATTAGTGCGGTTTCATACCACTCTAAAAGCAAGCGGAAACAGGCTTCCTTTCTGCTGCCCTGGAGACCAGGACTCAATGAAGCAAAGGAGAGGAGATTCCACCTGAACATCAGAAAGAACTTCCTAACTGTAAAAATACTGTTCAACAGTGGAACTCTCTGCTTCGGAATGTGGTGGAATCTCCTTCCTTGGAGGCTTTTAAACAGAGGCAGGATGGCCATCTGTTGGGGATGCTTTGATTGTGTTTTTCCTGCATGTCAAGGGGTTGGACTGGATGACCCATGTGGTTTCTTCCAACTCTTCTCTGTTGAGTGGTGGGCCATGGTCAGATGCCATTGAATGATCCTGGTTCCTTCTGCCCACAGTTTGGCTATGAGGGCCGCGTCCCCCTGAGAAGCGCCCGGCTCTTCTACGACGTGAGTGAAAAGGCGCGCCGGATTGTGCAGTCCTACTTCATGCTCAACACCACCCTCTACTTCTCGTACACGCACCTTGTGTGCCGGACTGCACTCTCAGGTGAGGCTGGGAGCATTGGGACATCTTCAAGTGGGACGTTTGAGCACCCTTTACCTGCAAATCTAGGCTAGGACACAATGGCGAAACGGCTTCAAATTACAGGAAAGGAGATTCCACCTGAACATTAGGAAGAACTTCCTAACTGTGTGAGAGAGCTGTTCAGCAGTGGAACTCTCTGCCCCAAAGGGAGTGTGGTGGAGGTCCTTCTTTGAAGGCTTTTAAACAGAGGCTGGATGCTCATCTGTTGGGGGTGCTTTGAACACGATTGTCCTGCTTCTTGGCAGAAGGGAGTTGGACTGGATGGCCCACCAGGTTACTTCCAACTCTAGAATTCTACTAGAATTCTTCCTTCCCCCCTTTTCTTTCTCTTCTGCTGTCTCTCTTTTCTTCTTTCTCTCTTTCCTTCTTTCCTTCCCTCCTTCTTTCTCTACATCTTCCCCCCTTCCTTCGCTCCCTTTTTCCTTCCTTCTTTCCCTTTTTTCTTTCCTTCTCTCCTTCCTTCCTTCTCTAACTTTCCTTCCTTCCCCTTTTTCTTTCTCTCCCTCTTTCTCTCCTTTCTTTCTTCTCTACCTCTTTCCTTCCTTTCTTCTCTCTTTGCTTCCATGCTTCCTTCTCCCTTTCCTTCTTTCTTTCCCTCTCTCTTTCTTTTCTTTCTTTCTTTCTTTCTTTCTTTCTTTCTTTCTTCCCTTCCCCCCCCCCTCTTTCTTCCCTTTTTTCTGCATTGTCATTTAGCTTTTCGTCATTTAGCTTTAGGGGGCTTTTAAAGTCCCTTCTGCTGTGTTTTTCAGTGTTGTTATGAGTGAAGGACCTACATTGGGTTGTTAGGTGTTTTGTGTCCAAATTTGGTGTCAATTCCCCCAGTGGTTTTTGAGTTCTGTTAATCCCACAAACGAACATTGGCGAGGGTCTCAGTGGTCTCCGGATGTGAGTGAAGTTACTGCAAGTCCCATCATCCATCTCCAAATTTTTCCAAACCGTCCCAGGATGTAGAATGGGTCATGCGGGCACTCTGTGGGAATTGTGATCGTGATCCATCATTGTTGGCAGTTGTAATGGTCTCAGGAAGGGAGTGCAGGTATTGCAAGTCCCATCATCCATGGTGCACCCTCCTCCAAATTGCAGCAGGATGTAGAGTGAATCATGGAGACTCAGTGTGCCAAGTTTGGTCTTTATCGGTAATTGGATGACGGTTGCAGTGGTCTCAGGAACTGAGCGAAGGTACTGCAAGTCCCATAATCCATGGTCCATCCCTGGCCAAACCACACCAGGGCGTAAAGTGGGTCATGAGAGGTCTATGTGCCAAGTTTGGTCTTGATCAGTCATTGGATGAGGGTCACAGTGGTCTCAGAAAGTGAGTGAAGTGACTGCAAGTCCCATCATCCATTGTCAAATTCTTCCAAACCGCACCAGGATGTAGAGTGGGTCATGCTGGCTCTCTGTGTAAATTGTGGTCCTGATCCATCATTGTTGGCAGTTGTAATGGTCTTAGGAAGGGAGTGCAGGTATTGCAAGTCCCATCGTCCATGGTGCATCCTCCTTCAAACTGCACCTGGATGTAGAGTGCGTCATGGATACTCAGTGTGCATTGGATGAGGGTTGCAGTGGTCTCAGGAATTGAGCGAAGGTACTGCAAGTCCCATAATCCATAATCTTGAGAAATTTCAAGATGAGATTGGCCACAAAATCTAAGAGTATAATGATGATGATGATGATGATGATTATTATTATTCTTTACCTGGTTCAGGGCAACAGGAGCGGAGGAATGACCTGAGCCACCCCATCCATGCAGACAATTGCCTCCTGGATCCTGAAGCCAATGAATGTTGGAAGGAGCCGCCTGCTTACACCTTCCGAGATTACAGGTGGGCCTCCCATGATGGAGAGACGTGATTGGGATCCAAAGTGAATTTAATCGATTACTGGGCCAAGACTAACAGGATGTATATCAACAGGGAGAAATATACGGTACTATACTATGACAGGAAAAAAAAAAATGAAACTCAGAGATACAGGATGGGAGACACCTGTCTTGGAAACAGTCCATGTGGAAGGGATCTCGGGGTCTTAGTGGGCCACAAGCTGAACATGAGCCACCTCATTAGTCAGCAAAGAAGGCAAATTTATTTATCATGTCAGTATCAACCAGACAATTGTATTACATTTTTAATACATTTTTAACAAACAGACAAAACAAAGTTTGCAAGCTTGGTAGTTGATTAAATGTCCTTTGACCAGTATCTGGCCACTTGGAGTGCCTCTGGTGTTGCCGCAAGAAGGTCCTCCATTGTGCATGTGGCAGGGCTCAGGTGCATTGCAGCAGGTGGTCAGTGGTTTGCTCTTCTCCCCACTCGCATGTCGAGGATTCCACTTTGTGGCCCCATTTCTTGAGGTTGGCTCTGCATCTCGTGGTGCCAGAGCGCAGTCTGTTCAGCGCCTTCCAAGTCGCCCAGTCTTCTGTGTGCCCAGGGGGGAGTCTCTCATTTGGTATCAGCCATTGGTTGAGGTTCTGGGTTTGAGCCTGCCACTTTTGGACTCTTGCTTGCTGAGGTGTTCCAGCGAGTGTCTCTGTAGATCTAAGAAAACTATTTCTAGATTTAAGTCATTGATGTGCTGGCTGATATCCAAACAGGGGTTGGGCTGGAAATGTCTCTGCCTTGGTCCTTTCACTATTGGCTGCTACTTCGGATGTCAGGTGGTGCAATACCAGCTAAACAGTGTAATTTCTCCAATGGTGTAGGGCACAGACACCCTGATAATGCGGCATGTCTCATTAAGAGCCACATCCACTGTTTTAGTGTGGTGAGATGTGTTCCACACTGGGCATGCATACTCAGCAGCAGAGTAGCAGAGCAAGGGCAGATGTCTTCACTGTGTCTGGTTGTGATCCCCAGGTTGTGCCAGTCAGCTTGCATATGATATTGTTTCTAGCACCCACTTTTTGCTTGATGTTCAGGCAGTGCTTCTTGTAGGTCAGAGCACGGTCCAGAGTGACTCCCAGGTATTTGGGTGCGCTGCAATGCTCCAGTGGGATTCCTTCCCAGGTGATCTTCAGAGCTCAGGATGCTTGTCTGTTCTTGAGATGAAAAGCACATGTCTGTGTTTTAGATGGTTAGGGATCAGTTGGTTTTCCCTGTAATAGGCAGTAAGAGCACCTAGAGCTTCGGAGAGCTTCTGTTCAACCATCTCAAAGCTCCCTGTTTGAGCAGTAATGGCATGATCATCAGCATAGATGAAGCCAATGAAGTTCTATAAAAATCAGACCATGTGTATGCTCCCTGCTCCGAATCATAACTCACTTTATTTCTTGTTCTCTTTAGTGCTCTTCTGTACATGAACAATGATTTCGAAGGTGGCGAGTTCATCTTTACCGAGATGGATGCCAAGACAGTCACGGTGAGCTTAGACCTCTTTTTCTTGAATTTTGCCTGGTTGCTTTACACAATCAGCTGCTTCATATCTATTAACACTGACTTCGGCATTGCCACAAAGATGCCCTGTTGTTGCACCTCAGAGTAGAATCACCTTGCTTAAGACACCAAACAACACATAGGCAAAAGTCTTTATGGTTTATTAAAGTAAAAGATAAAAAAGTTCATAAAAGCAAAAGTATAGTTCCAAAGATCAATATAAGGTAACACTTGAAAACAGGATCCACGGAGACACCAGCAAGGCAAAGTCCCATGAGAACATGACAAAGTCCTGAAATCATGAACATGAAAACTGCAAGGTAAATCCTTGGCTGAAGCGAGAAGTTGCTCTTACGCTGGGGTATTTTCAAACAGCCTGTTTAATACCCTTTGGAAAACATGAAGGCGTTCCTCTGGCCCTTGGCCTCCCTCTCTCTCTTGCTAGCGATTCTCACACTCCTTCGAACCTTAAATTCCAAGCGATCAGCTCAATCTAAAGCTCCGGCCTCATCAAGGTCAATCTGTTTGATAGTGCTTTCTTGCTCATTATCTGGCTGAGAACAACTGTCCTCCCTTCCTGAATCAAAATGTACCTGGCTTTCAGTAGTTTCATTATCAACGCATCATCCCTTGCTGTGGGAAACAACTGAACTTCTGCACCCTGTTCTTCCTTTTCTATCACAGGGATATCGCTTTGCTCCTGACTGTGAATCTGAATCCCATCATCCTCATCAGAATCACTGACACTATCACTCTGAGATTCCAGCTGAGTCACAACACCTGTGGAACTCGAAGAATTCCATAGTATTGAGCCACATCAATTGTAAAGTGGTGTCACATTGCATTCATTCTATAGTGTAGATCAGTGTTTCTCAACCCCTGTGGGGGTTGCGAGGGAGTGTCATAGGAGTCGCCAAAGACCATCAGAAAACATAGTATTTTCTGTTGGTCATGGGGGTTCTGTGTGGGAAGTTTGGTCCAATTCTATCATTGGTGAGGTTCGGAATGCTATTTCATTGTGGGAGAATTATAAATCCCAACAACTACAATTCCCAAATGTCAAGGTCTATTTCCCCCAAACTCCACATTTGGGCATATTGAGTATTTGTGCCAAATTTGGTCCAGAACCACCATTGTTTGAGTCCACAGTGCTCTTTGGGTGTAGGTGAACTACAACTCCAAAAAGTCAAGGTCAATGTCCACCAGACCCTCCCAGTATTTTCTCTTGGTCATGGGAGTTCTGTGTGCCAAGTTTGATTCAATTCCATCATTGGTGGAGTTCAGAAGGCTCTTTGATTTTAGGTGAACTATAAATCCCAGCAACTCCAACATTCCCAAATGACAAAATCAATCACCCCCATCCCACCAGTATTCAAATTTGAGCATATTGGGTATTTGAGATTTGAAAATACATCCTGCATATCAGATATTTACATTATGATTCATAACAGTAGCAAAATTACAGTTATGAAGTAGCAACAAAAATAATGTTATGGTTGGGGTTCACCACAACATGAGGGACTGTATTAAGGGGTCACAGCATTAGGAAGGTTGAGAAACACTGGTGTAGATGCACACAAAGACAGGGCGGCCAAAGAAAACTCCCATTACAAATAAGGTTCAGGTGGGATGGGATTAAATAAGATGGCATTAAATAACACCAAAATACAACACTGCCTGAGCTCTGCGAGTGCAGCTTTTTTCAAATGAAGCAGAGAGTGTTTGAGGACTAGGAAATCCGTAGGGAGACCAAGGCGATTGTTTATAAAGCCATTGTCCTCCCAACCCTACTATACGCCTGCGAGACGTGGACTATCTAGAGAAGTCACATGCAACTCCAGCAATGATTCCATCAGTGATGCCTCCTAAATATCCTGCAAATCTCTTGGGAAGGCAAGCGGAGAAAGGTCAGCGTGCTGGAAGAAGCAAAGACCACCAGCATTGAAGCGATGGTCCTCCACCATCAACTCTGCTGGACTGGCCATGTTGTCCGGATGCCCAACCACTGTCTCCCAAAGTAGTTGCTCTATTCCAAACTCAAGAATGGAAAACAGAATGTTGGTGGGCAAGACAAGAGATTTAAAGAAGGGCTCAAAGCCAACCTTAAAAACTCTGGCATAGACATTGAGTTGTCTTGGTCCTTGAGCGCTCCAGCTGGAGGTCAGCTGTGACCAGCAGTGCTGTAGAATTTGAAGAGGCATGAATGGAGGGTGAAAGAGAGAAACATGCCAAGAGGAAGGCGCATCAAGCCAAGCCCAACCGGGACTACCTTCCACCAGGAAACCGATGCCCTCACTGTGGGAGAAGATGCAGATCAAGAATCGGGCTCTACAATCACCTACGGACCCACCGCTAAGACACTACACTTGGAGGACCATCATCCTCGGACTACGAGGGATCGCCTGAGTATTAAATAAAAATTACCTGGCCTTTTCCTGTCACCTGCTGGCCAGATGAAGAAATTATCCTCAATACAGATACTATATGCAATATGAATCCTAGATCTGCTCCTCGGGGTGCATCTACACTGTGTAATGAATCCAATCTAACATTCTGGCTCCTGGGATTTGTAGTCTGGTGAGGCCCTCTACAGCTCCTAGGATCCCATAGCATTGGATCAGACAGTGTCAGCTTAAGAAAAAAAACATAACAGGTTTGCTGTGTTCGGGCACATCTGGACTGAATGAATGCAGTTTAACACCCATTTAATTCCTTTGGTTCAATGCTATGCAGATGGTAGTTTGGCGAGGTGTCAGTACTCTTTGGCAGAGAAAGATGAAGACCTTGGGAAACTGCAACTCCCAGGATTCCATCACATCGAAGCATAGGGTGGAAATGTGTGTGTATGTGTGTAAACATTACTCCTTCTAAGCACTGTTAGAAACTGAATACTGGGGTTTGGTCTGAATCGGAATTTCTACTTCCTTTGTCAAACACTTCTATGTTCTTCCCAACCAGGCCTCCGTCAAACCCCGTTGCGGGCGCATGATCAGCTTTTCCTCTGGCGGCGAAAACCCTCATGGTGTGAAGGCAGTCACCAAGGGCCAGCGATGCGCAGTTGCCCTGTGGTTCACCCTCAACCCACTGCATCGGGAACTGGTACATCATTGGGCCTTTTTTTTGGGGGGGGGGGGGGACTTTTATTCCAGTAAAACAGAGAAAAAAGTCAAAATAATACTATGTAACAAAATTTGAAAACTTTTCTGTTCCTGGTTTGAAAGCGTTATGCCTGTTTAATTGTGCAGTCCTTCCTTTGAAAGTAGTTGTTCTACTCCAGAAACTTTGTTGTTTTTGTGGCTGCAACACACTAGATTGAATTGGTTGAGATTTCTAATGTATCGTAGAGAAAAGTAGGGAACTTTATTCGATAATAAAAATCCCAATGCTGCTTCACCAAATTATAACGATCACACAAGAGCCTACCAAATTATAATGATGACACCACCACTACAGTCTAGCTCACCAAAATATAGAGAGATTATGGTTGTTAATAAACCAACTGCATATTTAAAAGCTAAGAACTGGGAGCCACTGGAACTGAGAGACGTAAAATGATTCTTTAAAAGATTTCCACTGCCACCATAATAATAATGAACAGGCTGAGGTACTATTGAGAGGTTGTTTTGTGACCCACTTTGTGTCACTATAGACTTCTTAGAGGCTGTTAAAAACTGACTTGAATAACACTTTGACCACAAAGGTATTCACACTGAGGCTGGTATAAGTTGGTAAAAATGACAAGAACTTTTATTGAACAGGCTTGAATAATTCAGGTACAAATGCTTATTGGTTTCAGTAAAGTTCTGGCATCAAAAAGTTACGTTTGAGAAGAGATCTTAAAAATGGTTACGTTTTTAAGATCTCTTCTCAAACGTTATGGTTACATTTGAGAAGAGATCTTAAAAACTTCCGGGTTACAAGTCTTAAAAGTTTCACCACAGGAAATTACTTCAGGAAATGAATCTCTGAATGTAACTCCCACAAAAAACCCTCTTAGGAACCTAGCCAAAACCTGAACTAACGTTCCTTAGGAAAAGAACAGACCACTAATGGGGTTCTGCTCCACACAGTATTCTAGCTATACTAAACAAAAGACTGACCCAAAGTTCATCTTAAAACCCCAAACTGCTCTCACTAACACCCCACATAGAGTGTGTTGCAGTAGTCTATAAGGGATGTAAACAGCGTGGACCACCGTGGCCAAGTCCGACTTCCCAAAGTAGATTGGCTGTTGCTAGGTGAAATGGCCTGGTCCCAGAACCATGATTTTAATTTTTTCCTAAAAGCCAGGAGGGAGGGAGCGGATCTTACCTCAATTGGGAGTGTGTTCCATAGGCAGGGGGTCACAGCTGAGAAGGCCCTGTCTCTCGTCCCTGCCAGACACATTTGTGCTGTTGACGGGAGCGAGAGCAGGGCCTCCCTGGATGATCTTAGATTACGAGGTGGGACATAGGGGTGGATGCATTCAGACAAGTAAGCTGGGCCAGAACCGAATTGGCTGCTTCTAGGTTACATGTGTATGCAGGGAAGGAAGGAAAGAAGGAAGTGCTATGCCCTTATCATGTTATGTAAATAATAATAATAATAATAATAATAATAATAATAATAATAATAATAACAATAATAATAATAACAACAACAACAACAACAATGGTCCTGTTTGAAGTAAATTCACCCTTGGCAATCATTTCCAGCTTCCTGACAAATTTTTTCTAAAACTTTCTGAGTTTGCAAATTTCCTTATTTCAGACAAATGCCATTCAATTTGAGTACTATTGCCATCTAGTGGTCGCCAGGGGAAATTAACTAAAGAAATGTCTCCAAAATCTATTGAGTTCCAATCTCAGAAGAAAAGCAAAATAAAAATCAATGAATAAATGCACATAATTATTTGGCAGATTTTGTAGTGTATTTTTGGAGTCCAGCTTTTCATGACTGTATAAAATGATGGAAGCATAACAATGCTATGGCAATATAGGCTGGTTTGCAGAGTATATTTCTGTTTCAAACCAGCCAGGCTTTTTAAATTTCTTAATTCAGAAAGACAAGCTCTTTTCCAACCTCTCCTTCGGTCTATATATATATACCTACCTCCATTGAAGTGCAAATAAGAATCCAAAGGAATGATTGAAGTCCAGACCCAAACGTCCTCCTCATTCTTGGTCTTTCCCATTCTTTTTTGAGTAATTCATGCTTATCAGTGGTAATATTATCCCATTTTCCTTTCTTAATATGGCTCACAACACTATAATACCAATCACTGGGTTGTTGTAGGTTTTTTCGGGCTATATGGCCATGTTCTAGAGCAGTGGTTCTCAACCTTCCTAATGCTGCGACCCCTTAATACAGTTTCTCATGTTGTGGTGACCCCCAACCATAACATTATTTTCATTGCTACTTCATAACTGTAATTTTGCTACTGTTATGAATTGTAATGTAATTATCTGATCTGCAGGATGTATTTCCAGTCACTGGACCAAATTTTGCACAAATACCCGATACGCCCCAAATTTTAATACTGGTGGGGTTGGGGGTGGTTGATTTTCTCATTTGGTAATCCTATTCTAAAGCCTTTGACTGTGTGGATCATAATAAATGGTGGCAAGTTCTTGGTGGGATGGGCATCCCAAGCCCCCTTCCCTCTCTCCTGAGGAATCTGTACAAGGACCAAGTGGCAACAGTCAGAACTGACCACGGAACAGGAGACGGGTTCAAGATTGGGAAAGGCGTACGGCAAGGCTGCATCCTCTCACCCAACCTTTTTAACTTGTATGCAGAACACATCATGCGAGGATGTGCGGGGCTTGAGGAATGCAAAGCTGGGGTGAAAATGGCTGGAAGAAACATTAACAACCTCAGATATGCAGATGACACCACTCTGATGGCCGAAAGCGAGGAGGAGCTGAGGAGCCTTCTAATCAAGGTGAAAGAAGAAAGCGCAAAAGCCGGGTTGCAGCTAAACGTCAAAAAAAAAAAAACCAAGATTATGGCAACAAGAATGATTGACAACTGGAAAATAGAGGGAGAAAACGTGGAGGCCGTGACAGACTTTGTATTTCTAGGTGCAAAGATGACTGCAGACGCAGACTGTGGCCAGGAAATCAGAAGACGCTTCCTTCTTGGGAGGAGAGCAATGTCCAATCTCGATAAAATAGTAAAGAGTAGAGACATCAGACTGGCAACAAAGATCCGCCTAGTCAAAGCCATGGTATTCCCTGTAGTCACCTACGGATGTGAGAGCTGGATCTTAGGGAAGGCTGAGCGAAGGAAGATCGATGCTTTTGAGCTGTGGTGTTGGAGGAAAGTTCTGAGAGTGCCTTGGACTGCGAGAAGATCCAACCAGTCCATCCTCCAGGAAATAAAGCTCGACTGCTCACTGGAGGGAAGGAGACTAGAGACAAAGTTGAAGTACTTTGGCCACATCATGAGGAGACAGCAAAGCCTGGAGAAGACAATGATGCTGGGGAAAGTGGAAGGCAAAAGGAAGAGGGGCCGACCAAGGGCAAGATGGATGGATGGCATCCTTGAAGTGACTGGACTGACCTTGAAGGAGCTGGGGGTGGTGATGGCCGACAGGGAGCTCTGGCGTGGGCTGGTCCATGAGGTCGCAAAGAGTCAGAGACGACTGAACAAATGAACAACAACAATCCTGGAGTTGCTGGGATTTATAGTTCACCTAAAATCAAAGAGTCTTCTGAACTCCATGAATGATGGAATTGAATCAAACATGGCACACAGAATTCCCATGACCAAGAGAAAATACTGGGAAGGTCTGATGGACATTGACCCTGAGTTTTTGGAGTTGTAGTTCACCTACATCCAGAGAACACTGTGGACTCAAGCAATGATGGATCTGGCTCAAACTTGGCACAAATACTCAATATGCCCAAATGTGAACACTGGTAGAGCTTGGGGAAAATAGACCTTGCCATTTGGGAATTGTAGTTGTTGGGATTTATAGTTCACACACAATGAAATAGCATTCTGAACCCCACCGATAGAACTGGACCAAACTTTCCACACAGAACCCTCATGACGAACAGAAAATACTATGTTTCCTGATGGTCTTTGGTGACCCCTCTGACACTCCCTTGCGACCCCCACAGGGGTCCCGACCCCCAGGTTGAGAAACACTGTTCTAGAGGCATTCTCTCCTGTCGTTTTGCCTGCATCTATGGCAAGCATCCTCACTACCTCTGAGGATGCTTGCCATAGATGCAGGCGAAATGTCAGGAGAGAATGCCTCTAGAACTTGGCCATATATCCCGAAAAAACCTACGACAACCCAATGATTCCAGCCATGAAAGCCTTCGACAATACATTATTATTATTATTATTATTATTATTATTATTATTATTATTTACACCCCGCTTTATCTCCCTTGAAGAGGACTCAAAGCGGCTTGACATAAAAGTACCAGCATAACAAAGTGGCGTCAAACTGCACTAAGTCTCGAGTGTAGAAACTCCCTTTCAGCCCAAAACACTTACAGCTCCTTTTTATTCCCCTCCAGGAACGGATCCAAGCTGACGAAGTCATGGCTGCGTTAGATCAGGAGCCTTTTGCACCCAGGGAGCTCGACATCAACCCCAGAGACGAGCTTTGAGACCCTCAGGACGCGGACACTGGATTGAAATATTTATTTAATATTTGATTTTTTAAGAAAAAGAGTAAAAAAGTCTTATCAGAGCCTTTTATTTTTGTACAGAGCCTTGGGTATAAATTAATGGACGGTGATAAATTAATGGACTCATGCACATGACCCCCCGCTGTCCCCCTCCTTCTGCGTTGGACACACCTCAAGCCAAGCGCCCCATTCCTACATTTCATATTTCTTGGTGGACTTTGGAATTCTTCTGTCGCGTTTCTCCAACCTCTGCGATGTGCCAACACCTTTAATTTCCTTCCCCAATTTAATAATGTCTAGGCTTTCATGACCGGAATCACTGGTTGCTGTGAGTTTTCCGGGCTGTGTGGCTCTGTTACAGCACTATTCTCTCCTGATGTTTCACCTGCATCTGTGGCTGGCATCCTCAGAAGTCTGTTGGAAATGAGGCAAGTGGAGTGTATATACACTAGGCATGGTTAGGTCCAGTTGGAATCTTCGTAATTCAGAATAAATTCGGAAAAAGTACCTTTTTGAAGCGAATTTGAACTTTTTTAGGAAACCGGAAGTCCCTTTGCCCTGTTGGCTCTGCATCTCGTGGTGCCAGAGCACAGCCTGTTCAGCACCTTCCAAGTCGCCCAGTCTTCTGTGTGCCCATGAGGGAGTCTCTCATTTGGTATCAGCCATCGATTGAGGTTATGGGTTTGAGCCTGCCACTTTTGGACTCTTGCTTGCTGAAGAAGAGAAGGCTGAGAGGAGATATAATAGCCATGTATAAATATGTGAGAGGAAGCCACAGGGAGGAGGGAACAAGCTTGTTTTCTGCTTCCCTGGAGACTAGGACGCAATGGAACAATGGCTTCAAACTACAAGAGAGGAGATTCCATCTGAACACGAGGAAGAACTTCCTGACTGTGAGAGCCGTTCAGCAGTGGAACTCTCTGCCCCAGAGTGTGGTGGAGGCTCCTTCTCTGGAAGCTTTTAAACAGAGGCTGGGTGGCCATCTGTCAGGGGTGATTTGAATGCAATATTCCTGCTTCTTGGCAGAATGGGGTTGGACTGGATGGCCCATGAGGTCTCTTCCAACTCTTTGATTCTATGATTCTATGGAGTGTATATACACTAGGCATGGTTAGGTCCAGTCGGAAGCTTCGTAATTCAGAATAAATTAGGAAAAAGTACCTTTTTGAAGCGAATTTGAACTTTTTTAGGAAACCGGAAGTGCCTTTGCCCTGTTGGCTCTGCATCTCATGGTGCCAGAGCGCAGCCTGTTCAGCGCCTTCCAAGTCGCCCAGTCTTCTGTGTGTCCATGAGGGAGTCTCTCATTGGGTATCAGCCGTCGATTGAGGTTATGGGTTTGAGTCTGCCACTTTTGGACTCTCGCTTGCTGAGGTGTTCCAGCGAGTGTCTCTGTAGATCTTAGAAAACTGTTTCTTGATTTCAGTCGTTGGCGTGTTGGCTGATATCCAAACAGGGGATGGGCCAGAGATGTCACTGCCTTGGTCCTTTCTCTATTGCTACTTCTTGGCGGATGTCAAGTGGTGCAATACTGGCTAAACAGTGTAATTTCTCCAGTGGTGTAGGGCACAGACACCCTGTGATAATGCGGCATGTCTCATTAAGAGCCACATCCACTGTTTTAGTGTGGTGAGATGTATTCCACACTGGGCATGCATACTCAGCAGCAGAGTTCACAGCGCAAGGGCAGATGTCTTCACTGTGTCTGGTTGTGATCTCCAGGTTGTGCCAGTCAGCTTTCATATGATATTATTTCTAGCACCCACTTTTTGCTTAATGTTCAGGCAGTGCTTTTTGTAGGTCAGAGCACGGTCCAGAATGACTCCCAGGTATTTGGGTATGCTGCAATGCTCCAGTGGGATTCCTTCCTAGACCATGAAAACCAATAAAATTTAGTTACCAGTATTTAAAAAAAAAATCAGAATCAAGACTGTAAATAAAGAACACCACTTGGCATGCTGACTGATAACCAAACGGGATGAGCTGGAGATGTCACTGCCTTGGTCCTTTCACTATTGCTACTTCTCAGCGGATGTCAGGTGGTGCTATACCAACTAAACACTATAATTTCTCCAGTAGTGTAGGATGTAGACATCCCATAATAAAGCGGGATGTCTCATTAAGAGCCACATCCACTGTTTTAACGTGGTGAGATGTGTTCCACACTGGGCATGCATACTCAGCAGCAAGGTAGAGAAGCACAAGGGCAGATGTCTTCAGTGTGTCTGGTTGTGATCCCCAGGTTGTGCCAGTCAGCTTTTGTATGATATTTCTTGTGCACACTTTTTGCTTGATATTCAGGCAGTGCTTCTTGTAGGTCAGGGCATGGTCCAGGGTCACTCCCAGGTATTTAGTTGTGTTGCAATGCTCCGATGGGATTCATTCCCAGGTCGTGAAAATGAATAAAATTTAGTTACCTGTATTAAAAAAAGAGAATCAAGACATTAAATAAAGAACACCACTTGGAAACAGAATCCCAGACAGCAAGTAATCAAACACCAGTTATTGCCTCCCAAACAAAGCGTGCCTCCAGGCAAAAGAGGCCAAGCTACTTCTATACAGAGACCCTCCCTGATTGACTTTGCAGCTTCATGGCTACTCAATGCAAATCAGGCTTGCTAATTGCAACATTCACACTTGCTTCAAGCAGACATGGGTTCTTTCTTTCTCCCATTCTGAACATTATTCCACAGGCAAATATACACTCCACTTGCGTCACTGCCAACAGAACCTCTGAAGTTGCCAACCATAGATGCAGGCAAAATGTCAGGAGTTAATGCTACCGAAACATGACCATACAGCTTGAAAAACTCACAGCAACCCCTTGTCGTGTGCATTTTGAATGCATTTGCCTTTTTCCACCCATGGGTTCTTTTGACTGTCTCTGCAAGGTGGCTCAATGGCATAGCCATGTGATAAATACCCTTTGGTGCCGTCCCCCAACCACCGTTGCATCAAGCCTGGCTCACCTTCTAAGAAAATCTGTTTTATGCAGGGGTCTGTCGGAACCCCGGTCTTGTCTGCACTGCAAAGCTGTGTCCAAACCCAGGAGGAATAAATTAAACCCCAGAAAACATGTCTCTGTGTTGTCTCCTCTCTTTCTGTTTTGGTGAAATCAAAGAAATATGAAAGAATGGAAGTCAAACAAGCTGGGTCTGGGGCACTTCGTATGGCTGATACCACTATGATCCTGGGTTATAAACGTCATTTCCCAATTCAGTGTTTCTCAACCTTCCTAATGCCGTGACCCCTTAATACAGTTCCTTATGTTGTGGTGACCCCCAACCAGAAAATTATTTTCTTTGCTACTTCACAACTCTCATTTTGCTCCTGTTATGAATGATCTTGTAAATATCCGATATGCAGGATATATTTTCATTCATTTGGAACAAATACTCGCTACTAGGCCTGTTTGATCAAGAAAAAATTGGTTTCTAAAATCGATTTGTAATTGGGGTGTTTTTTTGTTTCGATATTTAAAATAATTACAAAACTTTCCAAAAAAAAGTTTTGGTATTTAAGAAATTTTGTAAATATTAACGAAGTTTTAGAATATTTTTGGTATTTCTTAAGAATAATATTAAAATAATATTAAAAAATATTTTAAAATGGAAAATTAACCAAAAAATGGCCCAAATGTGGACCAAACACAGGCAGGATACAGCAAATGAGAGCACACACCAACAGAAGAGTCTTTTCTTTTTTAGAATATTTTTAAGAATAATATTAAAAAATAATAAAATAATATTAAAAAATAATATAAAAAATAATATTAAAAAATATTTTAAAATGGAAAATTAACCAAAAAATGGCCCAAATGTGGACCAAACACAGGCAAGAGACAGCAAATGAAGCAAGCAGCACTCACAGCAGCAAGGAATGAATCCAATCCCAGTTGCTAGCAGCCATTGCCAAGCCAACCCAATGCAAACTCCTCGCCCTCTGCAGCAAGCTACGGGCCGCGCGGAGCCGCTTTGAAAGGGCTCGCCGGCCAATCAAAAACAGACAGCCACGGACCCATGGTGCACTGCTTGGGAGCGCCGGATTGGCTCCCAGGCACCAGCACTCCAGCAGCCTCCACCCCATTAACGAAACGAGCGGAGGCTCGTTAAATCTATGGGGGTTGCTGGTTCGATATTTAAAAACCCTTCCGGGTTTGGAAATATGTTTCAATATCGCTTCGGAAATGCCAAAATTAACGAATTAATAACGAATTAACGAACGAAACCGCACAGGCCTACTCGCTACATCCAAATTTGAATACTGATGGCGTTGAGGGAGGATTGATTTTGTCATTTGAGAGTTGTAGTTGCTGGGATTTCTAGTTCACATATAATCATTCTGTACTCCCACCAAGGATGGAACTGAACCAAACTTGGGACACAGAGCTCCCATGACCAACAGAAAATACTAGAAGGGTTTGGTGAGCATTGACCTTGGGTTTTGGAGTTGTAGTTCACCTACATGCAGAGAGCACGGTGCACTCAGTGATGGATATGGTCCAAACTTGGCACAAATACTCAATATGCCTGAATGTGGACACTGGTGGGGTTTGGGGAAAATAGACCTTGACATTTGGGAGTTGTAGTTGCTGGGATTTATAGTTCACCTACAATCAAAGAGCATTCTGAACCCCACCAACGACAGAATTGGGCCAAACTTCCCACACAGAACCCCCACTGCCATCGGAAAATACTGTGTTTTCTAATTGTCTTTGGCGACCCCTCTGACACCCCCCTGCGAACCGCCCAGGGGTTCCGACCCCCAGGTTGAGAAACACTGTCCTAACTGGTTCCGTCATAAAAAAACATGGAAAAAGACTCTTAAACTGCAAAAACTTTGTCTTTGTGGGACATCCTGCTGTGTTTATTTGATTTATTTATCGTGTCAGGAGCAAACCAAACAGTTGTATTGTATTTAAAAACACACACACACATACACATACAAAGTTTGCAAACTTGGCTTTCGATTAAATGTCCTTTGACCTGTAGCTAGCCACTTGGAGTGCCTCTGGAGTTGCTGTAAGAAAGTCCTCCATTGTGCA